GATTAGTCACCCCACGAAACACATACACACACACACACACACACACACACACACATTAGTAAACCTGCTTTTCGTATTCACACAAGATACCAGAATTTTGACTTCGATACCGATACCAGGTTTAGTATCACGATACTCGATACCATCACAATACTCAATACCAAAACGATACCACAGCAAAAAAAGTGGTTCAATGTAGTTCAATGTCATTACATTTTTTATTTTTTATGTCTGAATGTGTCACGATCGTCTGGGTAAGGAGTAGACCAATACGCAGCGTGTTGAGCGAACATGATTGACTTTATTATAATAACGCACAAAAACCAAAACAATAGACAACTCGTGAAGTCCACAGTAACAATGACCGTAAAGGAACAAAAACCCACAAACACAAAGTGAAACACAGACAGTTAAATATGGCTCCCAATCAGAGACAACCAGCACACAGCTGACACTCGTTGCCTCTGATTGGGAGTCATTCATTCAAACATAGAAATACACCCAATGAATGAACACACCCTGGCTCAACATAATGAGTCCCAGAACCAGGGTGTGACAGTACCCCCCCCTAAAGGCGCGGACTGCGACCGCGCCTAAATACGAGCAAAACAGGGGAGGGCTGGGTGGGCATTCCTCCTCGGCGGCGGTTCTGGCTCCGGCCTTGCCCACCACCCTCCAATCAACCCCCCATAGCGCCCCTGGTCCGGTCTGACCCCGCTGGCTGGATCTGGACTGGACATTGACGGAGCGGATTGCTTACGCTCCGTTGTGGAGCAGCTGACCGGTCTTACCAGGCTGACGACTCGCACCCCGGGCTTGGTGCGAGTAGCAGGAACGGGCTGAACCAGGCTGACGACTCGCACCCCTGGCTTGGTGCGAGTGGCAGGAACGGGCTGGACCAGGCTGACGACTCGCACCCCTGGCTTGGTGCGAGTGGCAGGAACGGGCTGGACCAGGCTGACGACGCACACCGTAGGCTTGGTGCGTGGAGCAGGGACAGGCCGGACAGGGCTGGCGACGCACCCCGTAGGCTTGGTGCGTGGAGCAGGGACAGGCCGGACTGGGCTGGTGACGCACACCGTAGGCTTGGTGCGTGGAGCAGGAACACGCCGGGCAGGGCTGTCGACGCACACCGTAGGCTTGGTGCGTGGAGCAGGAACAGGCCGGGCAGGGCTGTCGACGCACACCGTAGGCTTGGTGCGTGGAGCAGGGACAGGCCGGACAGGGCTGGCGACGCACACCGTAGGCTTGGTGCGTGGAGCAGGGACAGGCCGGACAGGGCTGGCGACGCACACCGTAGGCTTGGTGGGTGGAGCAGGAACAGGCCGGGCAGGGCTGTCGACGCACACCGTAGGCTTGGTGCGTGGAGCAGGGACAGGCCGGACTGGGCTGGCGACGCACACCGTAGACTTGGAGCGGGGAGCAGGAACAGGCCGGGCAGGGCTGTCGACGCATACCGTAGACTTGGTGCGTGGAGCAGGAACAGGCCGGGCAGGGCTGTCGACGTACACCGTAGACTTGGTGCGTGGAGCAGGAACAGGCCGGGCAGGGCTGTCGACGCACACCGTAGGCTTGGTGCGTGGAGCAGGAACAGGCCGGGCAGGGCTGTCGACGCACACCGTAGGCTTGGTGCGTGGAGCAGGGACAGGCCGGACTGGGCTGGCGACGCACACCGTAGGTTTGGTGCGTGGAGCAGGAACAGGCCGGGCAGGGCTGTCGACGCACACCGTAGACTTGGTGCGTGGAGCAGGGACAGGCCGGGCTGGGCTGGCGACGCACACCGTAGGCTTGGTGCGTGGAGCAGGAACAGGCCGGGCAGGGCTGTCGACGCACACCGTAGACTTGGTGCGTGGAGCAGGAACAGGCTGGGCAGGGCTGTCGACGCACACCGTAGACTTGGTGCGTGGAGCAGGAACAGGCCGGGCAGGGCTGTCGACGCACACCGTAGACTTGGTGCGTGGAGCAGGAACAGGCCGGGCAGGGCTGTCGACGCACACCGTAGACTTGGTGCGTGGAGCAGGAACAGGCCGGGCTGGGCTGGCGAGACGGATAGGAGACCTGGAGTGAAGAGCTGCCACAACCCGTCCTGGCTGAATGCCTACCTTCACACACTCTGTGTGAGGCATCAGCACAGGACGTACAGGGCTGTGTACCCGTACTGGCATAACAGCACGTGACACTGGCGCAGGATATCCGGGACCGAGGAGAAGCACTGGAGGCCCCGAGCGCTGAGCCGGCACACTCCGTCCTGGCTGCATGCCCACCTTCGCACAACACGTGCGGGGTGCTCGCACAGGACGTACCGGACTATGCCGGACCACTCGTGGCACAGTGCGCAGCTCCGCATACCGCGGAACCTGCCCAGTCTCATGCTGCCATGCCTGAGTACGGGGAGTTGGCTCTGCTCTCCATCCAGGCTCCGCCAACCTCCTATTTCGCCCTGTGGCAGCCTCCTGCTGCCCAGTCGCCCATGCCGTGTGCCCCCCCCTAAAAAATTATTGGGGGTGCCTCTCGTCCTTCCGACGATGGCACTGCTGACGCCGCTGCTCCTCTCCTGCCTGGGTCTCCCCCTTCATAGCCCTCCGGTACCGGACGGCCTCCTCCTCGGTAATCTGCCCCCAACCGAGGAGGACATCCACCAGAGTCACCTCCTGCGTGTGTTCCTGGACACGCTGCTTGGTCGTTGTATGGTGGGTTTTTCTGTCACGATCGTCTGGGTAAGGAGTAGACCAATACGCAGCGTGTTGAGCGAACATGATTGACTTTATTATAATAACGCACAAAAACCAAAACAATAGACGACTCGTGAAGTCCACAGTAACAATGACCGTAAAGGAACAAAAACCCACAAACACAAAGTGAAACACAGACAGTTAAATATGGCTCCCAATCAGAGACAACCAGCACACAGCTGACACTCGTTGCCTCTGATTGGGAGTCATTCATTCAAACATAGAAATACACCCAATGAATGAACACACCCTGGCTCAACATAATGAGTCCCAGAACCAGGGTGTGACAGAATGTATGCATTAATGAATGGTCATCACTTATTTGAATAGTACATCTCTATTGATACATTGGGTAAATCAAGAGGCCTATTCACAATACAGGTGAATACATATTCGGTAGGAGTGTGTGCATGCATCAAGTTATTGAGCTTGTTTTGGCTGATTTCATGGGGCTACAGATGACAATCTCTTTCCCTTCCATTTGGGACTTATTTTATTATACTGATCAACAACATTTGGATAGTAGAAGCAATCTCTATCTGCATTGACCCTTTTTGCACTAACTTATTTGACTCATCACATACGCTGCTGCTACTGTTTACTATCTGTGACTTTATTCCTAGTTATATGTTCATATCTATCTCAATTACCTCATACCCCTGCAAATCGACTCGGTACTGGTACCCCTTGTATATAGCCAAGTTGTCGTTACTCATTGTTTATCTATTATTACCTTTTATGTTTTACTTTTCTATAATTTCTCTATTTTCTTCCTCTCTGCATTGTTAGGAAGGGCCTGTATGTACAGTAAGCATTTTCACCTGTTATTTACAAAGCATGTGATTAATACAATTTGATTTGAGGGTTCAATTCCTGTATGTGCCACATATTCCGAATTGACGTGTATACTAAAAGTTGTTTCGAATGAAAGCGTCTGATTATCATTAATGGGACTGTGGATGGTGCGATGACTACTTTACCATCATTCAGGTCAAGTGTGGGGAACAGTGTGTGCATGCTTTTGTTCCAGCCCAGCTCTAACACACCTGATTAACCTAATCATGGTCTTAAATTGAAGACTATGCTTAGTTGATTATTTGAATCAGATGTGTTAGTGATGGGATTGTGTGAAGTATATTCCTGCCGGTCTGCCATTGTTTTCTTCTCCTTGGCACGTAATTGATTTGTTAATGTCATCGATTCGCCACTCACTCATCTGATTTCACGCCTACATTGTTACTAATTGACTAAAAGAACAGGACAATACCTGTCACCATTTTCACATGGTTGATGGTTCACATGTATTTTAGTGTAAAATAAATATTTGTTATATCTTTTTTGAAATAGGACTAGACACTGATCATGGGTCAGTGTCTAGTCCTGGTCCCTCACTAATGGTTAATGTTAGGATTGGGGGAGAGGAAGCTGATCCTAGATCTGAACCTAGGGATATCTTCACCCCAGAGCATGTCAGACATTATGCTCCAGCTCACACTGTCATGCTCTCCATAGAAATTAATGCTCATTTGAATTAAGATTTTTCTTGCCATAAGTAGAGCAGCGAAGACCGTAGCACAGACTCAGTTGAAAAATATTAAGTAAAGTATACATAATTTAGACACACAAGGTTCATTTTAGGTCACACCAAAAATAAAAATGGTGTTGTTGGGCTTTGAACTGGCTGCCTCCCATGTCTCCACCTGCTCTAATGGAGAGAAAGTTTCCAAAAAGTTAGGTAAACGTTAGGTAACGTTCTTGTTAGTGTTTTGTAAGAGCACAATCTAATGATATTGTGACATAATGCAGCAGACACATTCTCTGAACTAAAGTTCTTTCCAAGAGCGTTTTGCAAACGTTCAACACACTGACAATTTTGCTGAGAGCATTTCGTAGGTGCATGCGCAGAATCAGGCCCTGTAGCAATCATTGGGACAAGGGTACTTAATGACTGTCACAGATACACCCAATTCCAAAACAAATCATTAATTACTTGCCTGTAGGTCCTTACTAGCCTGGTCCCAGATCTGTTTAGGTTGTCTGGCCAACTCCTATGATTGGATAGGAATCAGGAGTATAGTACTAGATGGACTTTCCGCCCTATTGCCCAAACCAAGTCAGCCCTCGTTAGTCTATGAGGGATAGGGAACAAGGGACTAGTTCTGGGGATGTTTGGCTTGGAACGATGCAATACTTTACGGCTTTGTTAGTGTACTGAGAACATGTCCTTCTTTTCCTTTGGCTTGGCTGAAGGTGAGGCTTACTGACAGGATGACAGAAGTGATGAACACCTGTGATTCGACGGTGGGAGACTTCAGTGTCGGAGGCACCTCAGGAGAAGAGGGTATATCCTTTCAGGTGGGGCTAATTCACACAGACACACTCACCGACACAACACTAAAACAAACAAAGGAACACACTCACAGTTCCACAAATAACACACACTCACAAGAAGACACTACAGCACAACATAAGAATAGTTATCCATGTAGTAACCCCATATAATTGTTTACATGCACAAATGAGGAACACGTGCACACACTAACACTCTCCATGGCACGCTCTCAGATCTCTCTCTTCTCCTCTCTCCTTCCCTGTAGACCCATGACAGGCGTAAATGTCCTTCCATCGCTCTGAGTTGACAGCAGGGCAATTTCTGACTGCACCTCAATTACAGCCTTCCCCTCTCTTTTATCCCCCTCTCATCCTCCCCCAAAAAAGACAATCTGATTTCTGCTCACTTTTTACAGTCAAGACCCAATGAATTCACGGCCCTCCAAAGAACTCACTGCTCTCTTGTGACTAAAATCTAAAGGAAAAGTGTGTCATTACTTAGAGAAGTACATGTGCATGTGGAGACTTTATGGACTTGGCTCGCAATCAATAGGGGCCTTGAGTAAAGCCAATGAAAGCTCTCAAGTAAGAGGTGGCAGCTAATTCAGCGGCAAGCGGTTCCTTTCTCAGCCAACTGGCTTGCCCCATTGCAGATGCAGATGTCCCTCACTGACCCCCCTCTTCCTCTTTCAGTGCAGTGGTGTTATGGAATTCATCGCGCCCCACACAAAGTGAATCACAAATCCTCTTATCGGCTCGAGCTCTTCAGAGGCCTGGGCTTTTGCCAGAGAAGTCACACTTGCTGCGTGTGGCGAATGCAAAGCACCTCGTTACCTCGGCATCCATTTCAAAGCATTAAATGACATTTTAGAGCAGCGGGCAATGTCAATCAGGGAGGGAGGAATTGGAAAACATACAGTGCATTCGGAAAGTATTCAGACCCATTGACTTTTTCCACATTTTGTTACGTTACAGCCTTATTCTAAAATAGATTAAATCTACACACAATATCCCATAATGACAAAGCGAAAACTGGTTTGGATATTTTTGCAAATGTATTACAAATAAAAAACAGAAACACCTTATTTACGTAAGTATTCAGACCTTTGCTATGAGACTCGAAATTGAGCTCAGGTGCATCCTGTTTCCATTGATCCTCCTTGAGATGTTTCTTCAACTTGATTGGAGTCCACCTGTGACTCAATTGATTGGGCATGATTTGGAAAGGCACACACCGGTCTATATAAGGTCCCACAGTTGACAGTGCATGTCAGAGCAAAAACCAAGCCATGACGTCGAAGGAGTTCCGAGACAGGATTGTGTCGAGGCACAGATTTGGTAAAGGGTACCGAAAAATTTCTGCAGCATTGAAGGTCCCCAAGAACACAGTGGCCTCCATCATTCTTAAATAAAATACGTTTGGAACCACCATGACTCTTCCAAGAGCTGTCCGCCCGGCCAAACTGAGAAATCAGGGAGGTGACCAAGAACCCGATGGTCACTCTGACAAAGCTCCAGAGTTTCTCTGTAGCGATGGAAGAACCTTCCAGAAGGACAACCATCTCTGCAGCACTCCACCAATCAGGCCTTTATGGTAGAGTGGCCAGACGGAAGCCACTCCTAAGTAAAAGGCACATAATAGCCAGCTTTGAGTTTGCCAAAAGGCACCTAAAGGACTCTCAGACCATGAGAAACAAGATTCTCTGGTCTGATGAAACCAAGATTGAACTCTTTGGCCTGAATGCCAAGCGTCAAGTCTGGAGGAAACCTGGCACGATCCCTATGGTGAAGCCGGTGGCAGCATCATGCTGTGGGGATGTTTTTCACCGGCAGGGACTGGGAGACTAGTCAGGATCGAGGGAAAGATGAACGGAGCAAAGTATAGAGAGATCCTTGATGAAAACTTGCTCCAGAGCACAAAGGACCTCAGACTGGGGTGACGGTTCACCTTCCAACAGGACAGCAACCCTAAGCACACAGCCAAGACAACGGAGGAGTGGCTTCAGGACAAGGCTCTGAATGTCCTTGAGTGGCCCAGCCAGAACCCGATCGAACATCTCTGGAGAGACCTGAAAATAGCTGTGCAGCGATGCTCCCCATCCAACCTAACAGAGCTTGGGAGGATCCACAGAGAAGAATGCGAGAAACTCCCCAAATACAGGTGTGCCAAGCTTGTAGCATCATACCCAAGAACTTCTTGAGGCTGTAATCGCTGCCAAATGTGCTTCAGCAAAGTACTGAGTAGAGGGTCTGAATACTTATGTAAAAATGATATTTCCGTTTATTGGTAATACATTTGCTCAAATTTCTAAAAACCAGTTTTTGCTTTGTCATTATGGGGTATTGTGTGTAGATTGATGAGGAGAAAAAAACAATTTAGTCGATTTTTAGAATAAAGCACATAACAAAATGTGGAAAAAGTCAAGGGGTCGGAATACTTTCCAAATGCACTCTATATTTATGTCTTCAATTGGCTGTTTCCCATTTAAGTCACTAGCCATCTCTGAGCCAACAAAAAGTACCTCTCACGGAGCATCATCTTGTGGTCACGATTATTCATGCTGGCTGGTTCTGGAATGTGTTTTGAGCCCTTGGAGACAACTTGGTAAATTACACATTTGTTGGATGCCAAGAAAGGTTTATACATCGAAAATCTAGGGTCAACCTGATTCTACTCCATCAATGTCACATGTTACAAGCAGGATTGGGGTTACCAGCAATTCAGTGTTCAATTCAGTTCAATTCACCCCAACCCTTACCTTGGTTACCAGATTTCCCCCCTTTTTTTGGTGACGCCGACATTATTGTGTTTCCAGATCTTTCCGGACTCCCACGAACGGTTCCCCAAGCTGTCCAAACGGCTTCCCTCCATCGTGGTGGAGCCCACCGAGAGCGGGGATGTGGAGAGTGGCGAGCTCCGCTGGCCCCCCGATGACCTAAGTTACCCTGATGAAGACCCCGGAAAGGCCCAGGCCCAGGCAGCAGGTGAGAACCACTCAAACCCATTTACAGCCAAGAGATTTGAGAACCAGAAGGGCTTTCCAGGGGACAATAGAATGGAATCGGTTTATTTTTCCCAGAGTAAACTTCAGACAAAAGAGAGGGACTGCGGAACTCTTACTTGCTATGCCTACTAAAGTTTAGAAAATGTAAAAACTATTCAATAATATTGAGGTATGTGATTTGGAATACCGGTAAAGACTAGGAGCTTGTAGGTTGCAGTCAGGTGTGGAGCCTGTAAGCTAAATGTAGCTATACAAATTGAATGTATTTAAATGTGTGTGTGTGTGTTGGTGGCAGGCGAGGATCATCCAGCAGGGGTACAGCAATGATGGGAGGAGTTTAAAACTGACTCTCACAATGCTGGCACCATTCCAGCCACTCACTGTGAGTGTCTCCGTGATGGACAGAAGCAAGGAGGAGGGTCTTCAGGCTAAGCCCCACCCTTAATCAACTAGATCCGCCAACATGTCGGTAGACCTCCACACCACTTGGTGGGGCTGAGACCTGTACGATTCTTAAATAGCTCATACGTGCCAAATTCTAGTGGGTAGCTTGTTACTGTAGATGAATTTGTTGCTTGTTTTACTTTTTTAGGTTTCACAAACAACATTTTTATGTACACCCCATTCAGAGTTTGTTTAGCCGTGATCTTTAGATCTGAACAGTTCAGTATATAAATGTTTTGTGTATCTGGATGCCTTAGATCAAAGTCTATAACACTGTACTCTTTTGAAAACGATACATACTGTACACTGTAGATCAGGGGTTGGAACTGGTTCAGGGAACAGAACAGACAACTGGAAAATAATGACATTTTTCAAGGAACAGAAATAAAACCAGGACAAAAGTGATCTCTAGTGTCCTGGAAGAGAACCATTATTTTCAAATCTAAACCAGTAAATAATCTTATTTTTTTTCCCAAAAATATTTATTATGTCTAGTATATAATTCTGTAATTCAGTGAAGTTATGATGCTAGTAATAGCCTAAACACACTCCAATTAACATCATGTCATGATGTTTAGCACTTCAAACCATGCGTCCTCCATGTCCACACCACTCTCGCTCTCCCCCCACCTGTGAAATCTCAGTCGCAACATCTCTGACCAATTAAACATATAAACAACTAGCCTACCCATTCCATAGAAAGCTGCTCTATCCGTGCTAATTGGTGGGGTAAAATAATGACCTAAATGTAAAAACGATGTTGATTTCACAGGTTGAATTTTTTTTTACGAAAAGGAATTATATGAACCGTTACTTTTTTGGCGTTCTAACCGGTTCAGAACTTTATTATGCTGGTCGGAACAAAAAAAATAGGGGTTCTGTTCAGAAAAGAACAATTGGAAAATAATTTTGGTTCCAACCCCTGCTGTAGATAAACAGATTTATACAGTGTGTTTGGGAGAGGAGAATTAATCATGAGGTATGTGGCTTTCTTACATTATACTGTATAGCTGTCAATTACGGCTCCTGCTCAAATGCATGTTATTATCTATAAGCACTTATTACAATGTTTTTTCTTCTTCTTTCAAACAATAGGCATCATTGTAGTTAATATATTACATACACGTCTTTCCAATCAAGGACTAATTGAAAAAACATAACTTTCAAGTTTTTCTAATTTGTCTTTCATCTATTGCCCAATTTCATAGCATGTCTGAGATTGTTTTTATTCATTAAACATTTTTAGCTTGGAGTCTCTGATATTATAGTTAAATAAAAAAAAGTCACACATCCTTCTACAAACATGTATTGCTTACGTCCTTTTGGAATACATTAATATAACAGTTCTTATGGAAATGCATTGCTGCAAATGCACAAACTTAGATACTAAAGCACTTTAGATATTCCCCAGAAGTTGTGTGTTAATTTTTCTCAATCTGGAAATGTTCTACAAGACTGCATTTCAAATATTGTATTAATTTCCCTCTCAAATTATAATGGGATATTTTAAAACATATTGAAAAAGTTTATTATCCCACTCATGCACTGTATCACATGTGAATATGTGGGATAATGACCTATTACAGCAGGGTTCTTCAATTCTGGTCCTGGAGGGCCGAAACACCTCTGTTTTTCATCCTCTCCTTCTAATCAGGGGCTAATTCAGACCTGGGACACCAGGTGAGTGCAATTAACTACCAGGTAGAAATAAAAAACAGAAGTGTTTCGGCCCTCCAGGACCGGAATTGAAGAACCCTGTATTACAGCATGGTAGTTCAAGCACAAGTATGAGCCTGTCTGTGTACTGTAGTTACTGTACTTTAAGCTCGAATTGACCTTTTATGTCTATTTACTCTGTCTTTAGAAAAACAATAGACTTGTCATAGCAGGTATTTAACCAAGATGCCACTTATGACAACTGAAAACACTGTTATGAAGCATGACATTGTCATTTGAACCTGGTTGAATGCCCTAGCCAGCTATAACATGTTTTATCACCTTAGCCAGAGTTGACATTATGAAAATACATTTTATGTTGTGTTATCCAATTCACCACAAATAAGACTACTACTATTAATACTTGTATAAACTGTTAGTGCTGTAGGATCAGTAGAGTTATATTCCTTGTTTGCGTGTAGCTACTGCACATAGAAGGGAGATATTGCGGTCTACATTATATGGATTTCCGGTGTCATGAAGATGGCGGCTTACTGTTTATGCCTAATAACTTCGGAAAACTTTATTCTTTGCATGTAAACTGATTACAACCGACTGTATTAGGCTACCGCTAAATAGCATTAACCTTTTCACACGTACCAACAAACGGGTGTGATCATTCTACAGTGGTCCCTGCAGCGTACGCTCAAACCGGTGTGACTAGAATGCTTTTTGAGAACGTCCAGTTTCGATTGACGCAACAGTCAGCATTTGAGCTAACCACACTGTTTTTCACAGAAACATTTTGCACAAACATAGCCCTTACAAAGTTATGTCCTGAATGTGACCAGTTTATTTTTGGATGCAATGTTCAGACATTCACAGAAGTAGCGGCAGCATACACAATCATCCAAACCGGAAAATGTAGGCTACATTAGTCCTAGCGCTAACTGAGGAAAGATTGACATAACACAAGCGGTCATATTTAGAGAACTATCGTCTGACAGAAACCACAATATGAATTGGCTAATAGCAATTACTATTTATAATTCATCACGTCACAGGTGAGCTCAACATTGATCTAAATAATTGAGTAAAACACTTTCTAGAAATCGAAAGTAATCCGACTGTCACGATCGTTGAGAGACGGGTTAGACCAAGGTGCAGCGTGGTATGCGTACATGTTTATAAAGATGAATAAACACTTGACAAAATAACAACACATCGAACCGTGAAGCTTAAACAGGGGCTACAAACACAACAAGCCAAACGCAAGTCAAGATCCCACAACTAAGGTAGGCAACTGGGCTACCTAAGTATGATCCCCAATCAGAGACAAAGAGCGACAGCTGCCTCTGATTGGGAATCACACCCGGCCAAACATAGAAATACAAACCTAGATCTACAACATAGAAATACAATGACATAGATCTCAAGAGAAACTCACACCCTGACCCAACCAACAAGAGTTCTCTAGATCAGGGCGTGACACCGACGATGGGTAGTTTGTGCGCGCTGCCATGTTTCTTTTTTCATGTCAACCACAAAGAATAAGAGGAGACAAGATGAGTTTGGTCTGTTTGCAGTATGCATATTGAAGGGGGTGTGTTGTCTACAATCATTCACTTCCCACCCCCCTAAAAATAATGATTACAAAAAATATATAACGTCCCTTCATTCACTTCCAGAAGTTTACTTGGAATGGTTCACTCATCTTTCTTCACCTCATTATAACATTTTTTGGTCTGACAGACATTTACGTGATACCCAGAATGCATTTAATAATGTCAACAAACATTGCGCCACACGTAGCTGGCAAATAGCTTAACATTAGCTCATTATAATCAGTACAACCTTCAAAAAAGTATTTTACACACATCATAGGTGTCAATTACAATCTATGCAATAATCGGAATGCATTATTTGTCGCCAGTACTTGAAAACATGTGAATAAAACTGTAAATACATTATGCTCCATACATACACTACCAGTCAAAAGTTTTAGAACACCTACTCATTCAAGGGTTTTTCTTTATTTTTACTATTTTCTACATTGTAGAATAATAGGGAAGACATCAAAACTATGAAATAACACATATGGAATCAAGTAGTAGCCAAATAAGTTTTATATTTTAGATTCTTCAAATAGCCACCCTTTGCCTTGATGACAGCTTTGCACACTCTTGGCATTCTCACAACCAGCTTCACCTGGAATGCTTTTCATATGTGTGCTTGGAATGCTTTTCACCTGGAATGCTTTTCAACAAGTGCTCAACATATGCTGAGCACTTGTTGGCTGCTTTTCCTTCACTCTGCGGTCCAACTGATCCCAAACCATCTCAATTTGGTTGAGGTTGGGGGATTGTGGAGGCCAGGTCATCTGATGCAGCACTCCATCACTCTCCTTCTTTGTAAAACAGCCCTTACACAGCCAGGAGGTGTGTTGGGTCATTGTCTTGTGGTAAAACAAATTATAGTTCCACTAAGCCCAAACCAGATAGGATGGAGTATCGCTGCAGAATGTTGTGGTAGCAATGCTGGTTAAGTGTGCCTTGAATTCTAAATAAATCACAGACAGTGTCACCAGCAACACACCCCCACACCATAACACCTCCTCCTCCACTCTTTACGGCGGGAAATACACATGCAGAGATCATCCATTCACCCACACCGCGTCTCACAAATACACGGCGGTTGGAACCAAAAATCTCCAATTTGGACTCCAGACCAAAGGACACATTTCCACCAGTCTAATGTCCATTGCTCGTGTTTCTTGGCCCAAGCAAGTCTCTTCTTCTTATTGGTGTCCTTTAGTAGTGGTTTCTTTGCAGCAATTCGACCATGAAGGCCTGATTCACACAGTCTACTCTGAACAGTTGATGTTGAGATGTGTCTGAACATTGCATCCAAAAATAAACTGGTCACATTCAGGATATACATTTGTAAGGACTGTGTTTGTGCAAAATGTTTCTGTGACAATACAGCTAGCTCAAATGCTGACTGTTGCATCAATCAAAACTGGACGTTCTAAAAAAGCGTTCTAACCACACCAGTTTGAGCGTACGCTGCAGGGACTAACGTAGAATGATCATACCCGTTTGTTGGTACGTGTGAAAAGGTAAATAAATTGCACCAAAAAAAGGCACACAAAAAATCATAAGAAACAAGGTTTTGAAGTGTCTGTCCTATATCTAGGAGATTCAAGAAATTATATATATATATATATATATATATATATATATATATATATACATACACACAGTGAGGTTAAAAAGTATTTGATCCCCTGCTGATTTTGTACATTTGCCCACGGACAAAGACATGATCAGGCTATAATTTTAATGG